GTTAATGTTTAATAACAGTATAAAATTATATCAGGAGATCATAAAGCTTAATATTCTTAAAATACTAGGCCATATCCATTTGAGATACAATATTTTTCTTGTTTTGTTTCTTTCCTTTTGAAACTAGGGTAAAGTTAGTAATAAGTAATTTCTTGGTATCTTTTCTGGATGATTTGCTATCAACTAGAGGGGCATACTTAATTTGTTTTTTAACATTCACATTAAAGAGCAACTATCATATACAGATAGATAGATTCTTGTATTTACTTGGTCATTCATTCGACAAGGCATTTATTGAACACTTACTTTGCATCAAGAACTATATGAGACTAAAGCCAAGTCTCAGAACTGGGGAACTCAACTAATGGAGTAGAATCAAGCCTAAAGGAAAGATCCATAGAATATGCACTAGAGGAAGGGACAGTTTCTGCCTGAGGAGTCAAGAGAGGCTTGTCAGTTGAGGGAGATGAGATGTGCTCCAGGTTTTGAAAGGCAAGCGGTAGGTGAAGCAGAGGGAAGGTGTCCACCTTGAGAAGGGATGGAGGCCAGAACCTAGGGGAATCTTTAGTGAATCCTAGATCCTCAAATGGGTGCCATTGTTGAGCATCAATTGTCAGTAGAAGGCAGGGGACAAGGTCAGGAGATGAAACTGTCAAAGGAAAAGTAGTAGGGATCTGGTCAAGATCCTCACCTGACATGATAGCTATTTACTCTCTTACGGTTGATGAACAACCAGTGAGAGATTTAAGTAAGAGACTTACATGCAACCATGGAACCAACTCTGGAATCAGTCTGATTACTTCCCTTATGATTCACTGATTTCATTTGGTAATTATGCATTTCAGAAAAAAATTAGTACAGCTTGAAAAGGTAAGTATATTAAGTTAGAGGCCACTAAAATAAACTTGAAATATATGGTAAAAGGAATTTAAAGGCAGGAAAGTAAGATGGGGCAAGTGTGAAGTTTGGTTCACACAGTTCATGTCCTGACATCCTACCTAAACACTTGTTAGAAGTGAGGCACAAAGAACTTGACTCTCGACTTTCTGGTAGTCAAAATAACCATTTATAGAGGCAGGATCCATGGAGAAACAGCAAGCCCCGTGCTTAGTGGAGGTATCAATATTTGTGGGGCAGAAGGCGTACTCTGATACAATAATAAATTTCCTCAATAATAATCTGACAGCAAACAATAATGAGCTTTATAGGACAGTTTTCTTTCTTTCTTCTTTCTTTCTTTCTCTTTCTTTCTTTCTTTCTTTCTTTCTTTCTTTCTTTCTTTCTTTCTTTCTTTCTCTTTTTTTTAAGAGTTTAGTTATTTGAGAGAGAGAACACAAGCAGGGGGAGGGGCAGAGGGAGAGGGACAAGCAGACTCGCCCCTGAGGGTAGAGCCGGACGCAGGCCTGATCTCAGGACTCCAAGATCATGACCGGAGCCGAAGCCAGATGCCTAACAGACTGAGCCACCCAGGTGCCTTTAGGAGAGCTTTCTTATAAAGTCTTCCCAATCTAAGTCGTTAGCATCATGCCAGGCCACTTCTCCCACATTCAGTGAAAGCAATTCTAGGGCAACTTGATTCAGTCTAGGAATTGGCTCTCTGCTGACCTCACTTAACTGAGGAAGGATTTGAGGGTGTCTCTCTAAAAGAAAACATGGACTTTATTTCAGGCACTCCTCTGTGATGTGCTTTCTCTCATCCAAGCTTTTTAAAGCTAAATATTGAGTGACACTCCTGGTTAGACCCTAAAGTGCAGTGAAGTCCAGAGCTCTCTGGTAGAATTGAACAATTAGGGTGGGGCTAGAACCGATATCCTCTCTTGGAAATTGTGGGGCCTGAAATGATACTTTTTGAATTCAACCTCCATTCATCCACTCACCCACTGTCTGACTGACTGACTGAGTCATCTGACACCTACTTATTGAGAACTGACTGTGGGCCAGACACCAGGAATTGGATGCAGGCTCTACTCTTAGGAAACTTACAATGCAGAGAAACAGAAAAATTACAAGGAGATAGTTCTACCAAAGGCTTAAGAAGACATTCACCAGGGAAAGAAATGAGCTGAGGAAGTGCTGACAGGACACAGCAAGATTCTCCTCAGAGAGTAATTTTGTCTTCCTAGTACCCCCTATAAAATAAACTGGCAGCTAAAATGAGGTACTTTATTCTATAAGGTTATTGACCACAGTCCCATAAAAATGGTGGAACAGTTTTACTGAAACCGTTCATTTTGGAATAACTGTCAATAAATTTTTTGAACCTTTGTATGTGTTGGGCACTCTGCTAACTATTTCATACGTATCACCCTACTTCACTACTAAAATACCCTGTGAGGTTAAGTAATGTTATTAGCTTCTCTTCACAGATAAGAGGAACAGAACTTCAGGAACCTTTGTCAGGTCCTTCAAGCCCAGTAACTAGCTCTCTGTTACTACCCTCTCTCTGGCAAGAATCAGATAGGGGGGCTTTTAAAGTGCCCTCATGAACTATATCCATACCTTATCTTCCTTTGTAATGGAAAGGTATCATTCTCACTCATCTTAAAGTGATTTGAATTCTTAAGAAAAAAAATAATGAAAATACAATGTGTACTAGATTCTCCTAGCAATAGTACAGTTTGAGTTCTGTGTGAGCATTAATGGCTAGATGAATGCAGCCCAGAATCAAAAGGGAGAAAATGCTTTGTATAATCCTGCATTGTTCCCATCTGATTTTTTGACAAGTAGATGGAGATTATCACAATGACTTATATTGGAATGTTTGGGCCTCTAAAATTTGTGTATTCCTTTGATAAAACATTGCTGTGAGAAGTAAGGCACAAAAATAAGAGTTTGAAGAAATACATGGGTAGCTAATAGGTATTTACCAAAAAAAAAAGTGAAAGGATTATACTCTGTGTCCAATTCAGTGGCTAGACAAAAATCCAGCACATGTGATGGTTCTAAAAAGCTGGGGTGGCAGGAATTGTCTTTGGGTGCTTATTCAGCTTAAACTCAGTCATCATCTACAGAACATGAAGAAATAGCCCTCAGATCTGGTTGAGGGGAAAATTAGCCTCCTGGACGTCAGCCAGAATCTAGGCTTGCAAGATGTGACCAGACTTACGCCTTCGGTCTCTGTACCTCCACCTACCCTCCCTAGGAGATCCAGCAGCTAAGATTAGTGGTTCCCACAGTAATTTATTGTGCCTTGGATTTCTAGGCGAAAGAAAAAAAAGGTAAGTTTAATAAGATCCTGATGGAGTTCCAAAGTTTTATTTTGAGTATCGCCTCATCAGCACGCTAGAAATTTAGCTGTTTAGCCACATCTTACTGGGCTAGGTCTGCTTGATGGCTCATAGCTCAGAGAGCACTGATTCTAAGTTATGAGTATCCTGCTGGTGTGAAGTAAAAACTCAGACCCTCTCCCCTTCCAAACCTGCAGAGAAGTTTGGTAGTAACACTCGTCAATGGGATTTGAAAGCCTCTGCGATTCTTCTCTGATTTGTAACCTCTCCAGCCCAAGCATGTAGGAGATGAACCATGGAATAAGCACATATGGGATTCAAATGAGGGACCCCATAGTCATCCAGTCCAGACAAACTAACCAAAGGGGGGCTGCAGAGAGGGTTGACTATAATATAATTTCTGAGATTTATCGCCCACACACCCATACTGTGTTCATTAATAATCATTGTGGAATTTTCCATTTTGATTAACAAGTCTGGCTCTGAAAGAATAACCCATAGGGCAAGAATTTCCCCGTTCCTCATTGGCTTCAGATAGGGCTCCATGAGATCCTACCACCAAAGCCTCTCAGGATAATTAACAGCCATGAGGTGTATAGAATATAATACAGCTAAAAGGTCATAAAAATGAATTTATTAGCACACTGGCTTATGTGTGTTGGCATATACAGCAAAAATTCTGAGTTAAACATGAAATTTTAAAATGTGAAATCAAACTTATGCCAACAGGGATCTTGGAGTAAGTCTTTGCTTTGCAATCTACTAGCCGTTCGCTGTGAGTAGGCTACTTACTGTCTCAGACTTTCACTTTCTTCATCTGATAGAGGAGTAGCAATACCTGCCTCACAGGATTGTTGTGAAAAATAAATGACATAATGTGGGTGGGAGCATTTCGGAAACTATAAATCATTATATGACTCTAAGGTATTATTCATTCCTGTCACTTTATCTTAGAATTAGTCATGACAAGCTTCAGGAATGAGGTGATACTTTTAGAGTATGTAGAAGTACGGGATTTCGGTGGGAAGAGGAGGGAGAGTGTTCCCATTTGGCTCATCAGTTGAATAAACATGCCCACCATGCCGCCATCCCAGCTTGCTGTACTAAGAATCAGGCCTGGAGATGTTGCCCAGAGGCAGGACCATGAGGACAGGGAAGCGGGCCCCCAACAGGGAGATGCTGGTCAGGGACTGTGATTCTGGTAAAACAAAGGGTCCAGGTTGAAAGTGGTAGGGGTTTTATTGGACAGTGCAGCTCTTCTCAGACATTAGCCAGCATCACAATCACCTGGAGGATTTTAAAAACGCATATTGCTGGATCTCACTCCCAGTGTTTCAGGTTTGGGAGGTAGGAGATAAGGCCTCAAGATTTGCATTTCAAACAAGTCCCAGTGACTCTGATGCTTCTAGTCCAGGGGCCACTCTTCTAGAACTACTTGGACAGCGTGGGAATCGCAACTTCTCACCTCTAAAAACTTAGTCTGATTCTGACTAGTTTAAAGAAAAAGGGAATTTCCTTCAAACTAATGAGGGTTGTTGAATGGTTCCTAAAATGCACAGGTATCAGATTCAGAAACAGACAGGAACTAGAGCAGTTCTGGTCCCAACAGCACAAACCCCTTCATCATGCTGCCTGGACATCACTGGCAGGAGATACCACTTCCAAGAGTTCTTCCTCTCTTGCTTCACCTGAATTAATATTCAGAATCTAATTGGCTTAGAGAACATGCCCACTCCTCAGCTACTATGTGTGATAAGGTACTTTGAATTACAGAGCCTCCGAGACTGTGCACGATGGAAGAGACGTAACTGAAAAGGATATCAGGTAACTACTGCCAAGGATGTTAATGGATGCTTATGTAGCCAAGAAACAACAACAACAACAAAAACAGTCCATGTCTCCTATCACAGTAGGAAAAGAACAATTAACAGAGGGCCTGGAATTCCAGGGGAGAGGAGTTTGCACTTGATCTAAACTGAGGGCTCCTGGAGATTCTTCGAAGGCAGCTGATAGCTTCTTTAGAGGAGGAAAGGAAGAAGTGAAATCAACTCTTCAGGAAAATTTTGTCTTGGGTACCCAGGGTGGGCCCTCCCATGCCCTGTTTTCCTGATTCCAAGCTTCAAGACTCTTGCTTCCAGGTTTAAGTATGTCCTCAGGAACTCTAGGTCAGGAACTTCTGATTTAAAGGCATACTCATCTGTCCTACAGCTTGAAGCATGCTATATAATTCACTGGAATGGTTCCTTCTTCTGGATAGTCTTAACTTTTTTCCTTTATTAGAAATATTTCAAGCATACAGGATGGTGTGGAGAATAACATAGCACTTGAGTATCTACCTCCCAGGTACTCAGATTTCTCTTTTTGAAATAATCCCATGGAATATTATAGAACGTTTGGCCATGGCCAAGTCTTGGAGGCAGCTAGATCAAGAGATGGGCTGGCCATTGAGATGGAAGTAAGGCAGGGAGGCAAACCTGTGGGTGACTGCTCGTAATCAGATCATCAACAACGGAGTGGGTAGACAGGGCTAAGTACTTATCCCCTCAAATATTAAAAATAGTGAAACAATGGATTCAACAATTTGGAAGGCATTAATTTTAAAAAGGATGCTTTTCCTTAAGGTACTTTAGTCCTGACTCAAATTGCCCTGACATGAACAATCACCTTTGAGCCATTATAAACATTTGCTTCAAATAGTTGTTTAATCCTGTGTAGATCTCTAAGTAGATAAGTAATCATGCGAGAAGGATTGATAAAAACGCCTTGGGCAAGTTAGCCATGTGGGTGGCTGGCGTGGGTATCCAGGATGCATTTTACGACCCTTTGTAATCTTTGAAAAGTGTAAGCTGTGACTACCTAAAGTTAATGAGATGAGATTTTAAGCTTCCAAATAACAGTAGTGACAACTCAGTCTGAAATTTTTAGGCTTCTGTCTTCTCTCCATTGTATAGCTATCAGTTTAATTATACAAAAATATAATTCAACTATTGGGTTTTGGACAAGTGAACCCTGAATAAAAGGAAGCTGCAAGGTTGTTAATTTTCATGTTACGACCATAATTTCCTTTGGATGTTCTTCTTTCTTCTTTTGAAATAAGGGTTTTCCAAAACTGTATTTTCTTTTGCTGCTACTTTTTCCTTCTATTTCCATTCTATGAGATCATTACCTGTTGTCCTCTCCATGTTATACCTTGAAAGTATCACATTCAGATTATGGTAACACCTTATGTAGCTGTCATTTTTAAGAAATAAAATTTAAAGTAGGCTCCTATAAATACCAGAATGACTTTATTTTTAATTTAGCCATTTCAATAATTCATTTCGGTGAAATCGAACAAGGTATTGAGCTAGACCCTGTGAGAGGCATAAAGATAAACAGACTTGCTCCCTGTTCCCCATGAGCTCACAGTCCTGGGGAAGAGCTAGTTCACATCACGTAATTCTCTTGTGGGTCATAGTGTGACAAGTGACAAAAGACAGGTGTAGAGATGTGCCGTGAAAGTACCAAAGAAAGAGATTACTTCTGGTTGGATAGTCGGGAGATACCTCCTGGAAGGAACAATTTTGATGAAGAATGGGAAAAACCTGGCATTCTTCATCAGAATTGTTGGTAGGGACTGATATTCCAGGTTGAAAGAAACCATGAGCGTAACCCTTAGGGTAGGAATGCATGGCATTCTTGGGAGTCACAACTGTGTGATACAGAGGAGTCAGGAAAATGGGTCAGAGCCTCATTTTCAGTGTGCGGAATGCCATGGTCAGGAGGTTGGACTTTATTCTGGAGTAACCGGCAACCGTTGTCTTACTCTAGGCTTTGGAACAGGGGAAATGACATGATCAGAGTAAAAGTCATTTCAGCTTAGCAAATATATTGGGTAGCTGTAATATGCCTAGCCCTGTTCTTGGAGTAATAGATAGAGGGATACATTCTTGATGTTGCCCTCAATGACCTTTGAGTCTAGTAGGGGACAGATACATGAACAGATAGTGTCAATAAAAAGTGGTATTTTGAGCTAAAATAAATGTATGTACAGGAGGTTATGGGAGCCCTGAGAAAGTAGTCTGGGGGCTAAGGAAGAGGTTATCCCTGGCATAAGTCTTACAAGAAGAGTAAGAATTATTTGGATAAGGAGGAGAGGGAGGGAGGGTCCAGACCAAGAGAACACAGAGAGCAAACTCACAGGGAATCAACTGGCAAGGGATGTATAAAGAAAGACAGCAGTGCCATTTTATTAGCTTATTCAGTGGGAGGCAGGGAGGGAGAAGGGAAAGAGGAGGGAGCTGAGGTGGTAAGAATGGTCCTTTGGAAACCTCTTTCATGGCAGAGGCAGGGAAGGAAGCCAGAAGACTATTACAGGGTCACATCCTACGGTAGTGGTACATTTAGGAGGCATGGCCCAAACAGGAATTCCAAACTTTCCATGTGACTCCCAAACATTTAGAGGGATTCAAGTATATACTGCCTGACAATTCCTGTTAATCCTCTGTCATTTCTTAATATTAAGCATCCGCAGACCTCCCAGGAGCCTTCTGGTGTCCTATCCTGGAAGGACCGTCACCCCCTCTGCAGAGTTCCATTCCGACCACCTTGATCCTTCAACCCCTGTTCTCTTTTCTGCCACTCCAGCAGGTTTCATTCTCCCTTTGAGTGTCACTCTTTGTCTCTGTTTGCTTTTCTGCCTCCACCCTGCTTCTTCACGCATGAGCTTTACCCTTTTTCTTCTCTGCAAACAGGACTTGATGGTGTGAGAGCAAGAGGGATACACTGCGATTTGGGTTGTGGGGGGACAGTGGGAGCTTCTGAACTTGAATATGTGAATATTTGGGGGCCAGTAGCAGTAAGATGAAATAGGGTCAGAAAGAGGGATATGGCAGTATGATGGAATAGAAGACACAGAAATGAGATAACTTTCAGAGACATACTCACAGCCTGACAACTAACTGAATGTGGGATGGAGGCAGAGAGGGGTAGGATTTTAATACTGCTTGGTACTTTGGATGTAGACTAGATAACAGCAGTGTGATATTACTCACTATGGTGGGGATCCAAAAAGAGGGGCACATTTAAGAGAAAAGATTAGAAGATGATAAATTTGACTTTGTATATGCTGAGCCTACGGTATCGGCAAGATATTCAAGTCATATTTAGCAAGCATAAGGCTTTAACTTGATGCAATATGCTAGCAGTCTCCAAACCTTTGTGCACTCATGGTCAAACGCCCTTGGCAAACAACATACTATGATCCTTTCTTGGAGATTGGTTATACACTGATAAATCCGGCAGTGACTAAACCCATCTAACTTCATTTCCAATGGCCCTTCCCATTGTTTTTCCAGAATACCTATTAACATCATTGGGAAGGTTATTTTCAAGGAGCCATGCTTTAAGAAATTATCGTTACAGCCCTAGGGACCTGTAATTAGGGGGTGATTAAGATAGAAAGAATTTGATGGGGGTGGAGGGGGTTGTTTATTTGCACGGAAGTGAGAGTTGCAGCATTATGTACTGATGAATCACTCAGACTGAATAGAGCGAGAAGAAAGTTTGCAGAAAGAACCTCTATAAACACCGTTTGATACCTGAAATGTCATGCAGAGAATACAATTTGGAGAGACAGCAAGCAAATTGTGGTAGCAAAAGCATGGGTAGAATTGACATGTGTGACAAGTGGTCTAATCTCTAATATTGTTTTCCTACCTGAAAAATAATCCCCACCTTGTTGGGTTGTATTGAGATTTAAAATAGAAAATATATGAAGCGCCTACCACATAGTAGACACAGAATCTATTCTCGATAAACACTGTTATTAATGTTTTCATTTAAATCTTCTTGATGAGGGGCACCTGGGTGGCTCAGTTGGTTAAGCGACTGCCCTCGGCTCAGGTCATGATCCTGGGGTCCTGGGATCGAGCCCCGCATCAGGCTCCCTGCTCAGCTGGAAGCCTGCTTCTCCCTCTGCCACTCCCCCTGCTTGCGTTCCCTCTCATGCTGTCTCTCTCTCTGTGTCAATTAAATAAATAAAATCTTTTAAAAAAATAAAATAAAATAAATCTTCTTGATGAGTTGAAACAAAGCTTTCGTGATCACACTGCTGTATTAAAACCTGAACTTTGAGCAATTACATGGCAGAAATCTCTGTTGTGAATATCAATACCCTAATACAAGAAAGCAATCCCAGTTAAGACAAGCCTGGACCAGGAACAGCATGGTACAGGAATAGAATCCACAGAAGCTAGGCAATGGAAGAGGACACCACAGGAATTTCCTGAAGGCATCTGTGACTATGGTTTGTTTTTTGTTTTTGTTTTTTTTAATCCGCTTTGCATGAAGAGACGCTGGAAGCTAATATCAGAACCTTAGTGAACAATCTGCTCTCCTTAAAAAATTTCTGAGCTAAACCCACCCTGGGTGAATGGCTGTGGGTATCAATCTGGCATGAGGAGACATCCTCTGACAATAGTCATTATCTGGCACCCTCAGGGGCGGACTGGAGTGGGACTGGAAGGAGGCATCTGCAACAGAAAACTGAGCTAATGAGACATACTGCTGTCTGAATATGTCCCCATGTCACAAATGCAGCCCTTAATCATTTTCACTCTTAGTCAGTTGAGCATACAAGGCCAAAAGAGATCCTGAAGAGATTCCACAGCAGATTAGCTTTTCTCTATCCGCGGGCCCCCCACAAAGTCAATTACCATGATTTATCCAAATTAGCTTATTTCAAATATCAAAGGGATGGTGACCAGAATTTGTCATTTTGCAGTCATTTCTGTAGGACTTCTGGACTGCAGCCCCTTAGGTCTCAGATGATCTTTGTTGTTACTCAGATTGGCCATTTAACATGACCGGCTAATGTTCTTAATCAAGAAGCCATCCTCCAGTCCCCAAGGTATGGGTAGAGGAAATCACTGAAGGGAAGATGAGTAAGTCTTGCAGGAAACTTGTAAGGCAGCAAGATGGTTCAGATCCTTGGGAAGGGACAGAGGCAGGGTGACAACTGGTTTATGTGTGTGAACAAACAAGGATCTTGTGGCAGGAGATGCTCGTTAATTGTTCTCTGAGTGAAGATAGGCTAAAGTGTCAATGAAATACACCCGAAAATTTCATAGGGTCTCTCAGGGGAGTATTTGCAAGGAAAATGAACAGTTCTCTATCTTTTAGGGTCACTTGCCCAAGAATCACAAGACTAGGGCAGAATGAATATACACAATCCAGTGCTACTTGAAATGTGGTCCAAAGTTGGCAGCAGCAGCATCACCTGAATCTAGCATCATCTAGAAGTACAAATTCTCGGGTCACACCCTAGGCATGCAGAAATCAGAATCTCCAGGCAATTTGTTTTTAAAAGTTTTCCAAGTAATTCTCAAAACACTGAAGTTTAAGCAGCACTGTTCTAGGCCTGTATTCGGTGTGCCAATCATTTCCACTTCCAACTCACTAAACCTGCCTGGTTTCCTTGTTTTTCTACCCCTTCGTTTCTTGTTCGCTTATCCTGATGGTCCCTGATTAGATCGTGTGGTTATAGATAACACAACAGTTTTATAATTTTTACCCTCAGCATAAATCAGAATTCTACTTATGGAAAGCAACTTTGTAGAGGCAGTAAAAATACTGATTCTTAGCCTCTTGATTTGGTGTGCAACAGAAAGACAGTAGTTACAACTTCTGAAAAATGACTGTTCATTCCCAGGAGAACCATGATATAAATTAGGGGATTAAAAAGGAGAAAAACACTTACATGAGCTGTAAGTTGCTCTTGGGAAGCTTTCACTTCAGCTTGTAATTTCTCAATGCGCTGAAAAGGGAAAAAGTTTAGAAACAAAGAGTGTAACTCTTTCTTTTACATATGCAAAGGATTCCAGATATAAATAGATACCAGTTCTCAAATCCTGTGAATGGCAGCACAATCTCAGCTAGATGTTTTGGAAGTTGTCATTGAGAAATCCTTGCTCCTATCCCTAACTTTTATCCCGTCTATTGAAGAGCCCAGCAACAAAGAACGCAAATATGTTAAGATTTAGGAAATGAGTGGGAAAATAATGTTTGCTTGATGTACTGAAGGTAATGCTAACTTACCTTCTATCATATATACCTATATATAGGATCAAATGGGTTTTTACCTGCCTTTGGAACATCTTTCTGTATTCATAGAAAACATATATATATATATATATATATATATATATATATACATATAAATACCAAAGGCAGATACAAACCCATTTGAGTTCAACAAGAAAAAAACTTATATAAATGCCCAGAAATTCCAAGATTCCGAGATTATTAGCTTCTTATAATTGATAAAAGCGCATGACAAATTTTCTGATCCACTTATTTCATGACATGGAAAATATTCCTTGATAAAATTCAACCTTAAAAACAAGAAAACATTTGTGTAGTTAATACCACTTACAAATAAGTAGAATATTCAGCTAATATGGTTCAAAAGGATCCATATCAAACAAACTTAAAATATCACTAACAAAATTAATTTGTATGTGAATATTCATCAGTGAATACAATTATATTTAGCAAACACAAATATTATTATTTGTCATCTTGAACTTAAATACTAACTTCCAAGCCAGCCGGAAAGGACTGCAGAATGGTCAGTTCATATAAGTTTAGGTAGCTTTTTAAGAGGAAGATTATTTTTTCTTCTACAACGTACCTGGTCTTTTGCAAGAACCATTTTTTTGTACGGCTCCCCACTGTCTTCCTTATGGTCCAGAGTCCCTAGTTTTTCCTCCAGCCAGGAAACTTGCTCAAGCAGTTTGGATTTTGTTCCTTCAGAGGCTGCAAGCTAAAGACATTTCTTGTAAGGGCATGCAAGCACAGTGATTTTTTTTTTTAGAGCTCCTTTTAAAAGTCTAATTTATAATATTTTGCCTGCCATTGATATCTTTTAAACATGAAAATGCCTTCTGGACTATTCCTCATAGCTGACAGAGATTGGTATAGAGAGATAAGGAAATAGTGTTGATTTTATTTTTATTTATAAAGATCTTTCTGGGCAAGAGATGAGCCTTCGTAGTTAGAACAGGCCGAGAGATTTCTAATGCAACAAGCTCAACACTCATCTTTCTGGTGTTTTAAGATTTCACTTTACTTGTACAGCTGAAATCTGAATTGTGGGTTATATATTGTTCTTGGAGCTTAACTCTTGGGGGACTACAGCTCTTTAGAAAGAGTAGGAATTCTGACTCCTTTGAATATTCACCATATAAGCAGCCAAGGGAAATGCAGGAATTTCAAGTTAAAGTCTGATCAAAGGCAGATCTTTGCTAAATCTTAACCAGAAAATGTCTACAGATGACTGTCTTTGTTTTACTGTTTGTAGAGTCCTCTTGAGAAAAGGGTAGTTTGATAGTGCCTTGTTCCTTAATTCCCTTGGAGAGCCCCTGGACTAGCATTTCCTTTCATTCAGACAGCTTATTGTGCATTTTCTCTATAGCTCAGCAACAATTCTGAAAGAGTCTCTGGAAAGGGACACACACCTTGTATTCATTCCAGTTCCCTGTGTGTCCTTAGAGGCATGAATTATCTTTAAGTATCTCTTTCGTATTATTCCAAGTGTTGTTGTAAAGCAGACTGTCTCATCTTGAAAAATGCAGCAAGTTTTTAAAGACAATTCACCAAATGGGGAAGCAGAAGCATGAAGAGTTTGGTCTTAAGGTGGGCACATCATATATATACGGGCATAGAGCCAAATCCACTCATCCTCACAATCATTCACTTAACAATTATTTGTTTAGTTGGCACGCTGCCCAGCCATTGCGTTATGCATTGGAGATTCCAAAAGTGCCATGTGGAGGACCAGAGGGGACACATATGTCATGAACTGTTGGCTATACCTTTTGGCTCTCAGTGACATGGGAGAGACCCGTAGCGCTCCCCATGGACAGTGATGCATTTAACTCTTTTTTTTTTTTTAAAGATTTTATTTATTTATTTGAGAGAGAGAGAGAGAGAATGAGAGATAGAAAGCACGAGAGGGAAGAGGGTCAGAGGGAGAAGCAGACTCCCTGCTGAGCGGGGAGCCCGATGTGGGACTCGATCCCGGGACTCCAGGACCATGACCTGAGCCGAAGGCAGTCGCTTCACCAACTGAGCCACCCAGGCGCCCCATTTAACTCTTGAGTACATAATAGTTTGGAGATGTAGCCTGGTTTTTCTAGGCACCCTTCTATTTATTCCACAACATAGTGTAATGGCTAAACACATGGACTCTTGAGTCAGGCCCTTGGGGTAAATATCTCACTTTCCTGCTTACTATCTATGGGATTTTGGCAAGCTCTTCAGTCTCTCTGGGCTTGAATTTCCAATCTGTAAATGAGAAGGGGGATGAAAAGAATACTACTTACCTCACAGGTTTGTTTTGAGGATTACATGAGTTTATGCAAGAGAGATACTTAGAATAATGCTTGAAACATATCCTGTACTTAGTACCTATTATTGTTATACTTTCTTCTACCTCCTCTAGATTACAATAAGTATTGATAGTGAGTATTGATTGTTTTATTCAGACATTTATTATTTTTCAAATTATAAAACAAAGTATCTGAGGACATCACAGCATTTTTGAGCCAGTTACCCTAAACTCAAAATGTATTCAGTTCACTTACTTCCTGCAACCACTATGGTGTTCAGGGGAAAAGACCTCTCTAGATCTGGCAATTTTTTTCTCTCAAATATAGTTTTTTTCAGTCTGACCTATTTTGTTCCCATATCCTACCTGAGCTGTCATTGATCCAGACACCATTTGGTTGTCTTTCTTTTAAATCTACCTTCTATTGTTTTCAGGCTTTTTTTTTCATTCATTCAGCAGATACTCATTTATTCACTCATTTGTTAAAGAGATATGTTGAGCAGTTATTATATGTAAAACTTAGAGGTAACATATGAGAGTGATATTCCTTATATGCTCAAAAAAATTCACACTTTACCCAGAAAGGCAGACAATTTTAGCTATTATGTACTATAAACATATTTAGGTGGATAATAAAATGACATTAATAATTTACTGGGTACTAACTACATATCAGGTGCTCTGCAGAACCTTTTGTTTTCACATTTATTTATCTCAATCCCGCTTCATACCCATTTTGCAGATAGGGGAATTCAGTTAAGTTCAGTAAAGTTGTATAACTTGCCCAGGGACATAGCAAGTAAGTGTTGGAACCCAAGCTTTCAGCAGTGGACACTGGGTCTGACTCCCTAAACCCAGATTTGACCCCAGCTCCTAAAGTGGGGCCTGAGAATCATGAAAATCCTATCCTCTTTGCTGCTGATTGATTTAGGAATCAAGGCCTAAACCAATTAGAGTCTGGCTTTTCTTTGATCACAGTTATTGTATGAGGAGAAGTGATCTAATGTGGGCCCCTCACACTGCACAGGAGGAATTTTGATGATTTGGAGAAACAATCTCTCTCACCTATGAGATATGAATGCTATTGTAGTCATCCTATAAACATCCAGGAAACCAGTATATGACGAAGCAACCCTCTGAATGGAAGAGTGGACAACATTATTGAAATGTTTTATCAAATAATCTTGAAGCATGTCCTTGACTCCCACAGAGTGAGCTAATAAGCTTCCTTATTGTTTAGAAATTGAATTTTCTGTTACTTGCTACCATAAGCATTCTGTTGACAATTCCATTCCTGATTCTATTGTCTGATACCAAAGTGCCATGCTCTTGACCACAAATAAGTCAAATCTATGGAACAACAGCAGTAATCAACATTTATTTGGTGGCTATACCATACCACACATTCTGCTGGGTGCTATCTTGACATAAGTTACCTTAGTCCATTGCTCAAAACTCTATAAGGAGTTTTGTTTTTATTTTTTGTTAATTATCAACATTTTAAAGAATGAGAAACTAGATGCTTTTCGGAGTGAATTAGCTTGCCCACAGCTAATGAGAAGAGGTTGGATTTGGATCTACATTGGTCTGCCTCCAACTCTGGGTTCTATATTATATCCAAACCATAACTCTAAGGCTGCCTGCACAGATGAGGCCTGTGGACGCCCCCCCGCCCCCCGCTACCTACATGACCCTCAACATTCTTTCTCAGCGTGTTTACCTATTTACCTGAAAGAGATTTATTTTCTTTTATTCTAAAGCCTGAGAACTCTATCCTAACGTCTTGCTTCCTTTTGTATAGACATCAACACCATCTTTTTTCTTTTCTTTTTCTAAAGGGCCTCTGTCTGACTATCCCTTTGACTCAGATATATTTACTGCAGGCTTAGCTTTATTCTAAGAAACCTTGACTTGGAGTCAAGAGATCTATGTTTTAGTCTCAGTCCCACAACTCACTGACGCTAGGACCTTGGAACCCATAATAGGATTTTACATGCTCCTTCGCTCTATTTTTATAGGTTATTTCTCCAGTCATATGTGTTCCAACTAGATTGTATTTCCCCAGAAGGATGAATGGAGAATTCTGTCAAAACTTACAAGACACAGTCAAATTGGCCAGGAACAATCTTTGCTAAGATCATTCTATTTATTAACTTTTTAAAGTTAATTTTCATATGTATGTATCAGCACCTCACAGCAGCAGGATAAAGAGATCTTATTTTTTCTTCCACATATGGATACACTGGGGGCAAGAAAGAATAATGTCTTGTTGCATTCCTTTTTATAATGATGAAACTGTTTATGGGCATAAGACGATATTCCCTGATCTCTCTTTGAAAATAGCCCATCAAATAAGACTAATAATCCAAAAGGATAGAAGAGAAAAGAGATGGGAGGAAAAGGAAATAAAATAAAAGTTACACATCAGAGTTCTTTTTTTTTTTTTTTCAATTTAAGCACTGCCTGAAAGATTCTGCTCTATTGCTGAGTCACAAGATGTTAGTTGCCATTTTGAATTCACTCCATTGTTTTGATGGAGGTTTTAGGACCTTTTAAAGTCTAATTTTCAGTTCAGAAAGCCTTTAGGAATGCTGTCTAAATTCAAATTCAAATTATGACATAGGAAAAAAAGCATCAAAGTAAGTAAGAGGAAATCCAAGGTAGCCCTACAAGATATCATAATTGAATTTTAAAATCTGGGGACCTTGGACATTGCTTCTTTTTTGTTGCTTTCTTTTCTTTTTTCATAAGAACCACATGGTTTTACAAAGTAATTGTTTTGGGGAGCACAGAAACAAGTTTAGTCCAATTAGTATCAGTATCTGCTTACATAAAGAGAGTAGAAATACATCTCTTCTTTAGATGACCAATTTTCATGTATCCTAATTGGCCACTTTTGCTAAAACATAGGTTCACATGATGTTGGAAGGCTATTGTTCTACTTCTGACTCTTTTTGACAAACAGGTACCTTTCCCTTCTGCCTGTGGTTTTAACAATTTTGGAGGGAAGAGATGACTTGAAAAGTATGAATAATATTTGTCTTAAGAATTACATAAAGCAAAGGGGCAACTTCCATATTGTACCTTTGAGGCTATGTAAATCCACTAAAAGAAAATCAACTTCCAATATTTATCCTGTTCCATAAAAGAACATTATAAAAGTACTGTAATACAGTTAAAAGTGAAAGAAAGGTACATTTTATCCATTGTACAGTTTATTAACAGAGTCAATAAAGGGTACTAATGTATTTTAGAATTGTATTCAAGATAGTGGTTAAAGCAAAATGACTTGGACTTCACAGAAGTTGGCAGAGTAGGAAGCTCCAGGAATAGGTCCTTCCACGTAAATAACCATTGAGCTGGTAAAACCTGTCAGAACCAACCATTTCAGAGCTCTGGAGTCTAGTAGAACACCCGCAGCATCCAGGAAGGTA